GAGGCACAGAGAGGCTAGGACTGGTGCTCAAAATCACATGGAAATTGCTGGGCTGCGCTGGGCTTCACACTCTTCCGTGGTGTAGCATGGCATGCTACCGCCAGCTCAGGGCCAGCCTCCTGACTCTGCCTTCCTGGGAGACTGGAGGGATGAAGGAAATTGAGTATTGAAGAATTTTGGCTTCAACAGCTAGGTGGATGGTGGTCTCACTTATGAGATGGGAAAGAGAGGGAGAAGCAAGTTTGGCAGAAAAAAGTTCAAGTGTCTGCCTTGGCTGTGTTAATTAACAGTAAACGCCAGACACTCAAGTGGAGACGCTGAGTGGGCAGTTGGATAAATGAGTCTGGGGTCCGGGCGCGGTGGCTGACACCTGTAATCACGCACTTTGGGAGGCCGAGGAGGGTGGATCACCTGAGGTCGGGAATTTGAGACTAGCCTGACCAACATGGTGAAACCCTGTCTCTACTAAAAATACAAAAATTAGCTACGCATGGTGGCACCTGCCTGTAATCCCAGCTACTCGTGAGACTGAGGCAGGAGAATCGCTTGAACCTGGGAGGTGGAGGCTGCAGTGAGCTGAGATAGCTCCATTGCACTCCAGCCTGGGCAACAGGAGCGAAAACTATGTCTCAAAAAAAAAAGAGTCTGGGGTTCCCAGGTTGAAGATCAACATTAAGAAAGCCTTGTCTCGGTGCGGTGGCTCAGGCCTGTAATCCCAGCACTTTGGCAGACCAAGGCGGGCAGATCATGAGGCCAAGCGATCGAGACCAGCCTGGTCAACATGGTGAAACCCCATCTCTACTAAAAATACAAAAATTAGCTGGGTGTGGTGGCGCACGCCTGTAGTCCCAGCTACGTGGGAGGCTAAGGCAGGAGAATCGCTTGAACCCGGGAGACGGAGGTTGCAGTGAGTTGAGATCAAGCCACTGCACTCCAGCCTGGCGACAGAGTAAGACTCCATCAAAAGAAAAAAGAAATCCTCAGATTAGAAATGATATTTAAAACTTGAGAATTTGCCTCCCTGAGAAGAGACGTGGCTGGGATGTGTTGGGGGGTAGCCTACCTTGAGAAGGCTCTGTGTGGCAGCACCCTCATCTGGTGGCTTTGAGGCTGGTTTGCTCACTAGTTTTCAAATAAAGACACAAGAGGATGACAAATAGCATTTTAAATTTAAAATAGATCAGCATATAATTTGCAGAGAGAAACCAAAGAACACACAGAAAGGCCGAGTGAGGAAGTGCCCAGGAGTTTGGCTGAGAAGCTCAGCGGCCTGTGTTCCTGCAGTCTACCCCCTCGACCACCCAGAAGGCTCTCTTTTTCCAGAGGGGGATGACCTTCCAAAGTCAGTCCTGCGGGAGGAGTCCAACTTGGTCTGCCTGATTAACGGCGCCGGCACTGAGGAGGCGGGGGCAGGCTGGAGTAATGAACCATTGGCTCTTCCTGCTGTCAGAGGTCCCAGAGAGATAATACTGCTGTGATGAGACATCAGGCATCCCAAAAAGAGCAATTAAAACTCATGTTTGGAATAGAAAATTAGGGCTTTCAAAGCGCATCACTGTCATGCTTTCTGCAGGAAAAACACTGAACACTTAATGGGCAGAGCCATGGAGTCGACCCTTAGCCTGGAATCTAAAATATTGTCCTGTAATTTGGGTTTGTCTTGACAGGTGAGGGCTTGAGAAGAGGCAGGGTCAGCCTGCCCTGTGAGGAGGAGGAGAAGGAGGAGGAGGAGGAGGAGGAGGAGGAGGGGGAGGAAGGGGGGGAGGAGGAGGAGGAGGCGGCCCCAGATAGAGGGTCACTGAGGCAAAGTGGAGACTAATGTTGACTAATGTAAAAGGGGGGACTTTCACCAAAAAACAATTAACCTAAGACTTGAATCTGAGGTCCTCGAAGCAGAACCTGCCTAAAAATGGGGAATGTCAGGGTTGGGACAAGACAGGGAGTCCTTCTAGGAATTTTCTACTATGTCAAGATGGCTTTTCGTGGCAGGCGAGGGAGGGTCTAGGGGTGGGTGTAGTTGCCCATCCGCAGGGTGCCTTGGCGCACGGCACGCTCTTCCCGGTGGGCTTTCAGTGCTCGCTGTCGATCGGCCTCCGTGGGGAACGTGTCGAGATGGCGACCCACCTGTGAACAGAAGGGACGAGCGGGTGGGCAAGGCGAGTCTTTGGTGCAGCTCACTGCAGTTGCTCCCCTTGCCCACCCCCTACTTCCGTCTTAGAGTAATGATGGAAATAGCTGTAAGAGGGAGGAAGTAACAGCAAGGGCTGGGAGCCTCCTGGTGCTGAGTGCAAGGCAGAGAGCAGTGGCTGCCTGGGGGAGGTGTTCCTCTGCTGGGGAACAGCATGCAGAGCAAATGTCACCGGACCATGACCAGACCACCAGGCAGTGGGACCTGGTAGCCAGTGTCCTTCACACACTGCTTTTCCATCATCACAAACCCCAAACAGGCTGGGTGTGGTGGCTCCTGCCTGTAATCCCAGCACTTTGGGAGGCCAAGGTGGGCGGATCCCGAGGTCAGAAGTTCAAGACCAGCCTGACCAACATAGTGAAGTCTCATCTTTACTAAAAATACAAAAATTAACCAGGCATGGTGGCATGCGCCTATAGTCCCAGCTACTCAGGAGGCTGAAGCAGGAGAATCACTTGAGCCTAGAAGTGGAGGTTGCAGTGAGCTAAGATTGTGCCACTGCAATCCAGCCTGGATGACAGAGCGAGACTCTGTCTCAAAA